TTGAGAGGGGTCACCTCTTTCAGCCTTTTAGACTGACTTTGGTGGGGAAAGACTTTCAACAGAAAGTGGCTATGAGGGTTCTGGCTGGGTAGGTTTCTGTGTCTCTGATTCTGGAGGGGGCACAGCAGCATAATCTGTACACCTACGTCAACTGAGGTCAACACTGACAAAGACTATGGGGTTCTTCTTTGACCAAGACTGCAGAGGTACTATAAGCGGCAATAGTGTCTGGGGCTGTTGGGGTCCTAGGTGGAAGAGACAGCTGGGGTCTTCCTGCTCTCCTTTTTTTCCTGTGACAGGGAGTTCTACCCAAGGGCAATGCCTCTTGGTACCAGGTCGGGTGAACTGGCACCCAGTGCATCAGTTAAACCAGGGTCCTGGGGCCCATGTGCACTTGTTACGATGGCAGTCCAAATGTCTGGTGTGCATGCATGTGCAGCTCTCCCAAGGAACCAGGATCTGAGTCTCTGGGAATCACCACAGTGATTTGGACCCCAGGTTGGGGGCACACAGCAGTGGCACAGGCTGTGGAATGACAGGATACAGCAGTGACTTAGGCCCAGGATGAGGGGTACAGCAACAGCATGCCCTGGCGATGGTGGCTCAAAGCCCTGACAGGGCAGCAGCAGCTTGGCCTCCATGATGTCAGGCCAAGGCTGTGTCTCAAGACACAAGGCATGTGGTACAGAGCTGTAACGTTACAACCCACTGATGGCAAGTCAGTTCCATGGCTTAGGACATGGAGGGTGGGACAGAGAACAGCAACGGCAGCATCACAGCCTAGTGATGGCAGGTCAAAGCCACAACTTAGGACCCCAGGGGTCAGTCACAGAATAGCAGCAGCTCAGCCCCAGTGATGGCTGATCAAAGCCATGACTTAGAATCCTGAAGGCAGGGCCCAGAAAGCAACGGCCCTTCCAGTTTCACAAGTGGCAAGGTACTGTGGCATCCCAACCCCAAAGAGTGGGGCACAGTATCAACTGAGGCCCCTGGGGGCAGGTCTCACCACAGCAGTAACTCCAGTAAGTCCGTGGTGAGGAGAAACAGCAGTGGGGACTCCAGGGACTACTTTAGCTGGGTTCAGTGTTGGTGCAGACTGGGAGTGCTCGGTGGCAAAGTTTACAAGTGGCCACAGCAGTGATGAGGGTTATTAGGGTTATTAGGGTTCTCCTGCTCTCCTTTTCCCATCAGGTATAATCCCTCCGAAGGGGGTTCCTCTTTGCACTGAGCTGCTCTGGGCTGGGAGGTGGAGTGATGCAGGTAAAATGCTTCTTATACTTTTCTATGCAGCTATGCTCAGTATTTGAGCCCTGCAGGGTTTCTGCTGCTGCTTTGTTGTAGTCTGGAGCTTTCCCAGAGCTGTTTGGTCTGTCTGTAGTTGTTTATTCATTGTTTTTGTGGGGAGACAAGCTTTGGGACCTCCTAGCCAGCCATCTTGCCAGTGTCAGTCCCTACAGTGAAATTTTTGTTGTATTTAATTTGAAGTTTTGAGAAAGTGGAAGAGAATCAGGAAAGCTAGTAGTGGAGAATAAGTATAAATCCAAACTGGTGGAAGGGTAGTTTTATCTATAGTTAAAGCTTTACTAACCAAGTTAATGGTGCAAATAACATACATACAGTTGTTTTCGACTAGGAGCTACAGGTTATGTTTTGTAGCATATTTACCTTTTGTTTAAATATTAATCCTTTGCTTTTTAATATTAATTTATATTCCTTGAAATGTACAATTTATCATGGCCCATAAAAAAGGAGCAACAAACCCGGTTAAGATTTAAATTTTTGCTCTAGTTTGTCTATATGTAGATAAGAAAAAAATTGTATTTCAAAAGTGAAAACTTACGAGTTAATTTCTACCCATCAATGCCTAATGCAGTAGGCAGAATATGTGTCAGCTCATCCAGTTAGATTGAGATTCTGGTAGTAGGCTGTAATTTGGAGCCGAGTGAATATATGAATGTCAGAAATTGGGAGCTAGCTTGATCCTCAATTTAAGAAAAACAAAGAGCCTATGAACTGCAATTGGTCTTCAAAAAAAAAAAGAAGTATCTTTGCTGGCAACTTTAGAGATGTTAGCATGTCTAAGGGTTTCAACAAATTCACATAGGAGCAACTAGTAGAGAACAGAGTTTTATTAAATAAGAAAGTTTAAGTGGTATATAGCATGTAGAAGCTGGGTTGTTGAAGTCGGGTGTGTTATTGATTAATTTATACTTTTTAATAGTGGGGGAGGCGGCCCCAGCTTTTCCCAGTCAAGGCCTGGATTTTACTAAGTAGGAGTATCTATAAAGATACAGAAGCAGGGAGTCCTTCATAGGATCTGACAGTAGAGAGTAAGTTGGATACAAAGTGTTTCATGAGAATGTGGCTTCTGGAAGGCCCTCACACCGAGCAGTGTTTAAATTTAGTTTCAGTATTCACAACACAAACAGAGAGAAATTCATAGTTGACACAAAGATGAGTTGTCCTCATCCATCTTCCTTTAAAGTTGCTTTCTCTGGAAAGGATGCCAAATTTGGGATGTTCCCATAATCACCCTCCACAGACAACATACATCCTTTGTACATCAAAAGGAAAAAGCTGTGACTCAGGGTGGAGGACCCTAGGGGATCGGTTTGCCGAAATTGCTCTTCACTAATCACACATGCTTGTTTGTCCCTTCTCTATTTTAAAATTGGAATAGGAAGAACTTATTCCAGAAATCTGGGACAGCTCTAAACTCTGGCTTTCTCGTTAAACTTGGCTACTCAAAGTTTCTGCTACTAAATGTCTCTAGTCTTATAGTCATTTGCAAACAATAGTGATAAATCATCTGTGATGGTGAATTGATCTTTGAAAAGTAACCTTTTCAGTACTAGACAGAACCATTTCATATTGCCCACCCTGGAAAGATGAAACTTAGTAATTTCTCAGGTGTGCTCAGCCAAGACTCCCGTCTTCTCCTGAGCCAAAACTTCTTTTTCAAGCAAAACTCACTTCAACCATTTACCTTTATGAGGAATCCAGCTTTACTCCCAGGTCCATTTATCTCCATGTAAACCATCCCCATGCTTTAAATATTATGTTATGTTAAAGGTTGTCACTGTGGTTGTAAAATTTCAAACATCAAGGTCAAGAACCTGAAAGCATTACTTTGGCATAAGGCTCTCTAAGGCAACTGTGGTGGTAGGGGCTGTTTAAAGGCCTGAGGCTCCCCTGTCTGTGGTTGTGGGAAGACACTCTATCCATTCCTGCAAGTTATTTGCGGCTCTCTGAGGAACTCATTTAACACTGTTCTCCAGGGCACGCTCTTAGGAGGTAAAGCTGGACTTTTCTAGTCCTTGTTATTCTGTTTGCTTCAATCCAAGCATCCAGTGGCACAAAAAGTCTGATGGTAAAGGGCGAGCTCCCAGAGAGAGCCCTGAGGAATGAAAGGTGGAATGTGCCACTGTTCTCTCATCCTTGAAATGCTGATCTGCAGAGCCACATAACCAGCCTATGAAATTTCAGCCCGCGTCCCAAAGCCTGACAACCATAGTAAATCCTGAATAAGCTGGATATTTGGAGGAGAGGTTTTGAAGTTAATTGAATTTTATGATGAACAGAAAGTTACGCGGAAAACCTGTTTGGTTTCACCTCACGTAGGTAGAGGTCTTTCTGAAAAGCTTGGTTCCACTTTTCTCTCTTTGGGTGTAATTATAAATGTGATCTAACCATTTCTAGGTGTAAACTCTTCGGCACCTCCATAGCGTTACCTTACTCATAAAAACTTACTGTATATTTCCTATAACATGGCTGTTGAAGGTAAATGTATTGGACTGGAAGTGTACAAACTCTAGCATCAAAGTTATTAGCCTAGGGCGCCTGGGTGGCTCAGTTGGTTAAGCGACTGCCTTCGGCTCAGGTCATGATCCTGGAGTCCCGGGATCGAGTCCCACATCGGGCTCCCTGCTCAGCAGGGAGTCTGCTTCTCCCTCTGACCCTCCTTCCTCTCATGCTCTCTGTATCTCATTCTCTCTCTCGCAAATAAATAAATAAAATCTTTAAAAAAAAAAAAAAGTTATTAGCCTAAAGGAAAAAAAATCCTTGATATGAGGTTTTGTCATTTTTCTGTTTTTCTGAAAACAGATTGTAGAAAAAATCCATCTAATTGAGGGTTATGCATTCTCTGAGTATGACTAGTCCTCGTTTAAATAATGAAAAATGTGGTGAAAAGGGTAATTTTCTTCCTAAGTCCTGGATTTTAGTTCTCTTTCATTCTGGGTTTCATTATGAGACTCAAGACAAGTCACAAGAGGCCCTGTGTAGTCCAGCTCTTGCAGTTCTGAGCTGTAGAATAGATCTTGCAGGAAGAAAAATCATGCAGTTTTACTTGATTTACTGGAATACATCATATTCTTGCCATTAGTATCCATTTTCCCATTTTCTTTTATGGAATATTTTATTCCACTATGAATATTCATATGTACATCTATATGTACATGTGTATGTATGTAAAATTATGTAAGATTCGAGCTTTCTATAACGTCAATAATGTACAGAACTCCTTAGAGATCACTGTGTTTTAGCAAGGAGGAAAGGCCTCTGCTAGTGTCTGTTTCCAAGCTTTTCACGGAGGCTATAAATTAGGCCTGGGAAGGCTATAACAAGTCGGTAATTTATAGACTATTAAGATAGTTAATTAGAAGTGATTCTTGAGCATATCCAATCGAGAACACATGTTTATAAAGGACAAACAGATTCAACACAACATGTCTTTGACCTAACCAAACCCAATCAGTTAACAAAAGGGGATATCTTATTTTGCATATCTCCCACTCCCCCCCAAAATAGAATCGCTAACCACTTGTTAACCACACTGACTTTCTATCAGAGTGGTGCCCCAAATGTTCAGATCGAGCACCCTATTAGAGTGTAGGCAGCAGAGTCTACAAGACAGGAAGAAAGCCCTTCTTGCTTTTTTGCCTCCTTTCCTGGTTTGACTTGATGTGATAATTCATTGCAGATTTCTTCTTCTTTGACAGAGTGCCTACCGCAGGAATGGGATGGCTTTTCTGGCCTGCTGATGGGACTGTGACTGTAACAACAGGAAAGGCACTGTTATAGTAAGGTGATTTCTGTTCCCCTCTTTGGACAAAATAAAATACAAGTTTACCTTCTCTGTATCCTCAGGAGTGGGTTGGTTTGTTGTGACTATCAACTGGCTGACTCCAGCTCTTTTTCCAGACCCCTCAGTGTTTCATCTTGTTTACTGGCTGGGCCATTTAGCTAATTAATGGCAGGATGTTTGGGAGAGTGTGTAGGTGGACAAGAATGCAGATCACACAATTTTGAAATTTTAATTTGGAATGGATTTACTGCCCTCAGCTCACATATCTTAAAAGCAGTGTCTTTTCTCCTCTCCCCCACCCCCCCGCCAATGTTTAGTCTATGTTTTATTTGATGCATTTTGTAATCCAGGTTTGGGACAAAGGAAACAAAATTAAAAGGACAGTCACTTCTCCCTTTGTACTGTCCCACCAACTTCACTGCAACATCTGCTGATTACGTATATCCTACATGTATTTTAGAGACAAATACTCGTTTTATAAACTCACACTAATCAGAGACCTAATTGATCCGATGAACTGGCTGTCCCCAGCTTCGCATCCCTTCCCCCCACTTACAGAGTCCATGTTAGTTTTTCATGCCTTCTTCCCGAACTTCCTGCAGATCTGCCTGTCATGTGTGTTCTCCCTCTTATAGGCCCTCCTCCCCTGTCTTCATGTCTCTCTGTCCCCTGTCCCTCCTCTGGCCCCGGGCCCACCACACACACACACACACACACACACACAGCCATTTTAGGGGCACAATAATCAGAATCTGTTGACAAAGGGGAGTTGAATGATTTGCTTTATCCCTTCAAAGCGCTCCCGCAGCTACACGGGAATTGTGGACTGGGTCATTTCTTGCTGGGAGCAGCTGAGCTACCCTTCTGGCATCTGTACTTTCTCCATTAAATGAGGAATTCGAACTTTGGAGAGCAAATCAAAATGTAGCAGATGTAATTGTACAGTTCCTGATTCAACTTGAATTACAAAAAAGGAAGTTATTTCTTTAATTCGGTAAGACTTCTGTGCAATTTTATTTTTATCATGGTTTTTGCACACACCGAAAGAGCCTTTGTAAAGCATTAATAAAAACAGAAATAAGAAGCATGAAAGATTTTCCGCCTGTGACCAAATCATCATGAGGCTCCGTTAATATGATTGTGCCATATTATTCACATTTGTTAACTATCATTTACCTGTTCTGTGTTAGTCCTTCCTTCTGGAAAAAATCTTCATGTCAAGAACAAAAAAACGCAGATATATAATATATATCAAAAAATTGCCAAGGGGTTTCGATGTTCCATCTGTGCTTGTTGAAATGTATGATTAAACTTTTCTTTTTATCATCATTCTTATTTTTCTTGGCATCCCTAATCATGGAAAATTATAAGCTTGCAGTAAACATCCTAACTTTTAAAACGACAGCATTTATTGTATTTGGTTTCGATCTGCCAGGCTTATAGATGTATAAAATTTTCAGGGGCTAATTTTTCACATCAAAATTCCTTCTCTCCCACATTTTACATTTTAAAGTATGCACAAGGCAAAAAATACAGGGTTTAGGTTTTTTCCCTTCATTTTATTCTACCTGATCTCCTTATAGTCCCAGAGAAGGAAGACTCAACGTACATTTCTCTCAGAAATATGACAGGTCTGTGTTTTTGTTGGTCTGGCGTATGTTTGTCTATCTTGAACAGTCTGACAGGTAATTATTTATAAAATCTGGTTTTGCCCAGTAAGTCCATATAATAACCTTTCACTTTTCATCATAAGCCAGTGAGCTGAATTTAGAATAAAACAAGGTCATTTATGTCTGTCCCAAAACAGCCTAGATGTCCCCATAATTGCTCAATATTAATATTTTTAATTCTTTTTTTTTCTTTTCTACACTTAGCTCCTTTCTCTGACTCTTTCAACAACATTGAATTTGAAGTGAAATGAAATTTTCTTAAGCAGCAGATATAGAAAAAAATTTATAGAAGGAAAATCTCAGAAAATGCGACTTCAATAAATTGCTCTCTCAAGATTAAAATGTTAGGTAAAATCATAAAATGTTAGAGCAGAGATGGTCTTTAGAGATCACTGTAAACAACCATTCATTTTCCCAGTGAAAGTATGTAGCCTGGAGAGGGAAGTTAACTTTCCCAAGGTCACTCAGTAATGGCAGTGACAGACCAGAGACCAGATCCATGGCCCCTCATTCTCAGGCTACCATTTTGCTCCAGCATACTGGATTTGCATAAAATACTACCAAGACACATTTGGGATTTTATGGCATGTTTATCCTAGACAATAACCTACATTTATTTTTTAAATGATACTAATTTGGGCACACTCTAAAGCATACGTGTTACATTAAAATCTTCCTCAAAGGGCCCATGGTATACTTAAGTAATCTGTATTATATGTCAGTTTACATCAGTCTTTTAAAAAAAAGAGGTCTGCAAGCAGGGGGGAGGGGACTAGCACACTTTGAGCACCGACTCTGTGTCAGGAACCTCACCTCTGGGATTTCATTGATCTTCACAATGACTTCATGAGGTAGAGGCTATCAAAAACAAAAACAGCCACATCAGGCTCATTTCTAAATCAAATGTGAATACACAAAATAATCTCTATTTTTGTAGCCTTGTGTTTTGGAGCTCAAATCTGAAAAAAATAAATAAAACCGACAAATCAATAAAAATAGCCTCTCTTATGGGAAATTGACACGGCCTCATAGATCTGAGAGTAAAGGAAATAGAAATATTTCTCCCTTCACCTGAGTTTGGAATGTGACGTTCCGAACATGCGGTCCTGAGCTATGTCATTAACCTTCCTGCCTTCACATATTGCAATAGTTAAGATTCAAAAATAATGTTCCAATTTTAGAACCAAGGGTTTTTATTTAAAAACCATCAGAAGCACAAATATTTTTTAAATAGTGTATATAATTCCTGTACCTGGGGAAAATTCTTCATTTATTACTGTTTGTCCTTTGTTTCTTATAAAATAATAAACAATCCACATTTAATGCTTTTACCACGTAGAAGACAAATAAACATTAAGTGGTGATTCTTGGTCTGAAAGAAAACAAGTTTACTTGTCTAGAAATTATAAGGTTTAATTTTATGAAAAAAATGTTATATAGTTCCCAAATCAGGTATTTCTTCCCAGTTCATATAACCCCTTGTGTAAAACTGAATCACTACAGAGAAAGTATTCCCTCCTCTACCCTCCTGGAATTTAGATAGAACCTTCCCAAGTTGCATTTAAAATTCTACCTTCAGCCATGTATACATCTCATAAACTATTTTACAGTTTCCGGTATGCTCTGGCTGAACATTTCATAGTACATAAACACTTCTGCAAATAATAGGAGGGCATCAAGTTGAATGAATATGTCAAGGCAGTGGCTCCCACAGAAAGCTGATTCTCCAGCAATGTATTTTTCTTATTTTTATCTCCTTACTTGAAATCCAAGATGAAACTTTCCATGCTCTTAGAGTAAAGGGAGGGGGGTGGAGGTAGGCAGGGGACTCTAGCAGTTTTCGTGGAGTTGTGTTCATTAAAGCAGAGGCTTTCTGCAGAGGGCATCAAGCCAAACTTAAACAACAAAACCATGCCTGCAGGAATTGGATATGAATGTGATGGTCAAATAAGGGCCAGATGCCTTTAAAAACTCAAATATTAAAAAAGTCATATCTCTTAAAGTAAGTCTCCAGTGTTGGGAGTGATACTGTAGTGCTAAAAAAAAAAAAAAAAAGCCAACACAAGGAAAGAGACTTGCATTTGTTTTCTGGGCCATCATAAGTCATGGGAGTTTTGGCAATTGAAGCATATTTTAAAATAATCAATTCCTAGAAAGTCACAAAAAAACTACATATAATATTTCATTGTTGGACACCACTGTAATTCTGTATAGAGCATTATATTCACATTCCTCCTTCTGCTCATCACCATCCAATATTCATTATTCCCATTTTTTTCCAAAGGAAAAAAGTAGAAAAAAAAATATTGGGAAAAATCAAGAATCAAGAAGATTGCTTATTTAATTTTACTTAAACCAGGTAACACTTCACTTGCTTTCAAAAATGAGTCTATATTTTACCAGCATTTTAAGAATAAGTCTGACATAATAATGCCAGCACTCCACGTGTCATCCTGTGTACCAAGCACTTCGTGCAAGTTGTCCCATTAGATACTCACAGCCCCTCTATGGGATGTGCCCTGTTATTCCCCCCATTACCCATACATAGTAGAGAGGAAGCTGATGGAGCTAACATTTGTACCCAGCCGCTTTGACCCAAAGCCCATGTCCTTCACCACCGTTCCACAGCATGGAGCATGCTCGAGTATAGGTCTCTAATAATGTGTTAAAGAGAATTGCTGCTCTGAGCCCAGAAGCACTTCTCAGTTCCAAAAATCTTGGTTACAAGAAAATTTCATTTTAACTGAATATTCCTTCTCTAAGGCCAAGTATTAGGTATATAATGGACTATCACATCATGTGTAATAGACTGTAGTTACACTGGATGATGCCAAGTCCTCTATAATGTCTTAAACCTTAATATAAATACATATGATCAATGCACATACTCAGAGTCCCTATACAAATTGTGAGAAAAACTTCCTCAAAGATCCAAGATCCATGTTTATAAAGACTCTCCTGTATGAAGATTACATTTCTCCAGAAGGCTCTAATTACTTACACTACTATTTTATGCTTTCATACAAGGTATGTACATCCTGTTATAAAATAATCCCCATCTTGTTTACATGTGTTTGCAGTGGCAGATACACAGGTACATATGACAGTCACTTGAAACTTTGTACAAATGCCCTTTTTTTTAAATTTTATTGTATTTTGTTATGTTAATCACCATACATTACATCATTAGTTTCTGATGTAGTGATCCATGATTCATTGTTTTCGTATAACACCCAGTGCTCCATGCAGTACGTGCCCTCCTTAATACACATCACCAGGGGACGCCTGGGTGGCTCAGTCAGTTAAGCGTCTGCCTTCGGCTCAGGTCAT